AAAATCTTTAAAAAAAAAAAAAAAAAAAAGAGTAACTGGCTGTGGACCGATGTGTTCCAGAACATTCTGGAGTTCCAGCATTCTGAAGCTTGTACCTTCATGGCCAAGGTCCCAAAGCAGAGCTCAGGTTCTGAAGCCCTTGTTTTGGAGAGCAGACTCAAATTCCTGGCTTCTGAGCAGTGTTTCCTACTGAAAGTTGGCCAGGAGAGGAATCAAGTGTTCCTTGGTTTCCCTCTGAAGGGTTCTCCTTGTTTACTTGGGATGTTGGAAGTAGAAGTAGGGTGACCAGCTCATCCAGGTTTACCAGGGACTTTCCTGGTTTTAGCACTGCAAGTCCCATGTCCTGGAAATCCCCTCATTCCCAGGTTAACTGGGATGAATAGCCATCCTAAGGAAACAAAAGTCAAGTGAATAGACCAGGTATTTCAGTAAAAAGCCATCACAAAAGTTAGTGGCTTAAAACAACTATCATTGTTGGATCACCACCTGCTCTTGACTGGGATCAGCTGGGTGGTTCTTCTCTGGTCTTGCTGATGATTACTTGTGTAGCTGTGTTCAGCCAGGGGGTCAGCGGGAGGTTGGGCTCAGCTGGGCTCATCTGGTCCTTGCTCCCTGTCCAAGTAATCTCAGGGCTCTCCCTTTCCACGTGACCTCTCCAAGGGACTTTTTTCCAGCAGGGAAGCTGACCTTCCGTATGGAAGCACAGGGCTTTCAGAGTACAAAAGCTGCCTGCCTTCTCAAGGCTCAGGCCTGGACCAGGCAGCGGACTCCGCCATATCTTACTGTAAAAGCCAGATAGAACCATTCTAGAATCAAGGCGAGGGGACTGCACCAGGAGTGAATAGGGAGGGGGAGAGGGAGGTCATAGGGGCTGCCAAAATACCAGTCTCCAGAGGGGCAGTGAGATGCTTACACAGATGCCCTGGTGCTTGATTCACTCTGACCTGTCGGCTGGGCCACCTTCCTTGCTCTCCTCACGCTCTCAGAGAGAAATGAATGTGACTAGTGTGACCACTGGTCAGAGCCATCAAGAGCTCTAGGTAGCTGCAGGGCAGGTTCATCCCTATCGTTCTTACTTGTGCTAAGAGTACGGAAGATGGTGCATCCCTGTTTAGGTTGCCAGAAAGTCTGCAAGAAGTAGCAGGTTAAGAGGCCTGGGTCCTACAATACTGATGTGAAGTAATAAATGACCCGACTCTTCCCTTCTATGCAACACTTCTTGGGGAGTGAGTGCCTACACCTGGGCCTCTACTCAGGGCAGGAATAACAAACACGACCAACTCTCAGCACCTGGCTTAAAGGAGCAGACGTCTCAACATGGAACCTTTCCACCCAAGCGCCAAGTCTTGTCTTCAGGTTTCAACGAGTGTGTCAGGATTGGTCCTTCCCTCCTCTCCTCTCAACTGCCACTCTGACTCCCGCACTGTCTTGGTTTTCCAGTCAGTTTCCCTCTCGGGTTGTGAGCCTCCTGAGGGCAGGGAGAGAGAGGCCCAGCAGTTCTTGAACACGCGGGTGGCCGGGGGTGCCCTCTCTAGCCAGGGTGGTCCAGCTGGCACGCATGCGAGACCAGCCCAGGCCCCTCCACTTCAGAGCAGCTCCAGTCTCGCTGGTTTCCACATCCTGTGGGCATTCCTTTCCCTCTTCTCCCCTCCCCCCACTTTTTTTCTTTTTCTTTTTTTTTTTTGCAAAAAAATCTGGCTCCTTCATCTCCCCCTACACACACTCCACCTTAAAAGAACCCGAGCCGCGTCCGGGCTCTGGCTCTGCTGCTTCCCCTCCTCCTCCTCCTGCTCCATCGCTGTGGGCACTATCTGGGCACTCCGACTTCTGGCTCCTCTCCTCCCTTTCCTCCCCACCCGCTCCGCGCCGCCGCCAATCCCGGCGCGTCCCGCCTCCGCGCTGTGGCTTCACGCCAGTTCCCGGCCGCGCGCCCCTCCCTCGCGGTCCCCGGCGCTCGCGGCTCCGGTCTGCGCTCCCGCAGCTCCTCTCCCGCGCCCCTGCTCCTGCTCGCCTCGCAGCCTCCGCGGACCCGCAGCCATGGCCGACATCAAGACGGGCATCTTCGCCAAGAACGTCCAGAAGCGACTCAACCGAGCGCAGGAAAAGGTCAGGAGCGGGCGATGGGGCAGGCGGCGAGGGCCGACCGGGCCAGGGGAGCGGAGGAGGCCGGGCAGCAGCGGCGCGGAGCCGGGCCGGGGTTGCGGGGACGCCGTGCCCTCGGCCGCGGCGACTGCAGCGAGGCGGGCCGCGGGGCGGGATTGCAGGGCTGCGCGGACCGGGTCCCGAGGCGCACGGCGGCTGAGCTGCCCGCTCCCTGCCCCCCAGCGCCGCTGGCCCCTCTGCGGGCTCTTCGGGCCGGCGCGCTGCACGAGCGGCCGCGTACGCGGCGGGCTGCCCGCTGCCCCCGAGCCGAGCGCATCTCCCTTCCGGCGCCCGCTCCCCGCTCGCCCGCAGGCAGCTGGCAGGGACGCGCCCGCGGGTCGGGGCGGGAGATTGCGGCAGTGTCTTTCCTCCGGGGGGCGGGTGTTCCTGGCTACCGAGTGCAGCAGACACGAGCAGGTTAGCGCAGAAGATATCCCCAGCATCTCTATTTTGATCGAGAAAAGGACCGGTGGTTTCCATGGCTTTAGTACAGTGCTGTGGAGTGAATCCTGGAGTTCAAAAGAGAGACCTATATGCACACTTTTTTGGTCTCCCTGTCTGTGTGTCCCTTTTGACGCCAGTGTCCTTCTCTGGAAGGTCAAAAGTGACCTGAACCTAACATCTTCTCTGGACATTTGTGCATAAAGGGGGGCGTTTTAGTCCATTAAAAACATCCACATTGCACGGGCGGGTTCCCTGTTGTTTTACAAGCAACCCAGTCAACTGGCTGCAGTAATTTATTTTTCTCACCCAGAGATGTGCACAAATGAATCCCAGGTCTATGCCCGAGCAGTTGGAGTGGTATCGTACCAGGCACTGGGCTGGGCTGGCTACCCTGAGACCTTGCCGGCACTGAGGTCCGTGTGTGTGTGTGTGTGTGTGTGTGTGTGTGTGTGTGTGTGTGTGTGTGTGTGTGTGCGTTCTGAGCAAAGGGCATTCGTATGGTAGCTTGAGCGCTGTACTTGAAATTAACACAAGCTAATGAGTTTCATGGTTTGCATCAGTCGAACTGGTTCTCTCACGTGGCAGGATTTTCCATCCCTGGGTTACTGGGTGGTTAGCGTTTTCCTGTTTTACTGGAAGTCAGATTTGCCGCGGTACTCACTATGGCAGTGACTGTCCCTCTTCAGACCCAGGCTGACGCTGCCCTCCACTTCCCACTGACCCTAGGAGCTGAGCAGAATGGGCACTGGCCCCTTTTCCTGTTGCGGCCCAGAGGCTGGGTGGCTGCCTCTCTAGTCCCTCCCTCCACACACGCACTTTCTCAATGCAGTAAGAGGATTGTATTTCTTTTAATATCTACTCAAGCTCATCTGAACTAACGTGATCCTCTCCTGCCGCTCCTTCAGCGCTGAATTAGCAAGACTTCCTGCCCCCTTCCAGTCCCTGGTTACCTGTCTAGAAAGTAGCCAGGATCCTGGGATCTGAGCCAGGTTTTGTCATAATTTTTTCTTACCTAATTTTACCCACTCGTAGTTACTCCCCTTCCCCCAACTAATTACTGGAATCTTTGGTCCAAAGCTTTTCATTGAATCCACTTTTCATCTGTGTAGGAATTGAGTGATATAGTCCCCCTTTTCCACATATTATTTCTTAATCTAGGTCACCAGCTGTTACTATGCCAAAAATAAATGAAAAGAAAATGTAATCTGTGTTACAGAGCATTTAAGCCCTTACGAATTGATGAAAACTCACTTTTTCATTATAAAGGTCAAGAGTGTGTTATGATTGCAGTTGTGGATGGTGGTCAGACTCCTATGGGAGTAGGGGTCTAAGGGAGCCTTGTGCAGGGCTTCAAGTGCCCTGTTCCCTTCCCTGGGGAAAGTTGCTGATGAAAAGTGCCTGTGGCACCTAGATGAGGGGGTTAAGACGCCAAGAGGCTGAGAGTATGGGTTCTGCCTCTGGGTAAGTTCTGTGGCCTTTCTGAGCCTGTGCAGCACAGGGGAGAAGGGCTTGTGGGAATCCAGGTAAGGTAGCCCAGCCAGGTCCACCGGAAGCTCCTGGAGAACGGAAAGCTCAGGATGTTGCAGGCTTCGTTACACGTCTCCCCACCCCCGCTTGTGATTCCTTCATTTTGCACCTTAGGTCCCTTCCTCTTTTCCAACGCACACATTCCATGGCAATAACTATGCCATGTTATTGCACCGCATATGTTCTCAAGACCCTTTGCTCCTTGTTTTAAAATCAAATCTTTTCAAAAGAGATTCCACTCCCTTTAAGTGGATTCACTGTCTCCATTCCCTTTCTCATTGTCTGTGCTCCACTTAACAGCTAGCATGCCTCTTGGCTTCCACATGTATGACTGAAGCTACTCTGAGAGGTAACTTGTGGTTTTTTACGAGTTTAAAATACATTTTGTTTTTTCTTACAGAAAGTCAATAAAGGTTCATTGGGGACAGAATGAAGTATACATATAAGCTAAAAACAACCCCAACAAATTGGGTCACTCATAATTTCACCACACGGAGATTTCACTATTATTTGATGTGTACCATGTAGATCTTTTCCTGTACGTGTATATTTATGAGTACAACTGAAATATAGGCTCATACTACAGCATCCTCGGTTTTGCTTTCCATGGTTTCAGTTACCCACAGTCAACCACATGCTGAAAATATTAAATGGAAAATTCCAGAAATAAACAATTCATCAGTTTTATATTGCACGCGGTTATGGGTATGGTGTGACATCTCACTATCCCACTCCGTCCCACCCTTGATGTGAGTCATCCCTTTGTTCAGCACCTCCATGCATGTCAACTCCCCCACCCGTTAGTCACTTAGTAGCCCTGTCAACTGTCATGGTATCACAGGGCTTGTGTTCAAGTAACCCTTACCATCAGAAGGTCTTGAGTAGCCTAACAGTGTGTCACAACACCTATGTCATTTACCTCACTTCATCTCATCATGTAACCATTGCATCATCTCGCAAACCAAGAAGAGAAGGGGTGAGTACAGTACAAAAGGAGATTTTGAGAGACATCACATTCAAATAATTTTTATTATGGTATATTGTTATAATTGATCTAGTTTCTTATTAGTTATTGTTAATATGTTACTGTGCCTAACATATATTAAACTCTATCATAGGTATGTATGTATAGAAAAAAGCATGGTATATATAGGGTTCAGTACTACCCGTGGTTTCAGGCATCCACTGGGGGTCTTGGAAAGTATCTCCCATGTTGATAAGGGAGGCATACTATATGATTTTGTAACCTGTTTATTTCATTTAATAACCATGAACATTCTTCGATGCATGTAGATTTTCTACCAACATTTTAAATGAATAGTATTGGAATGTATGGATTTTAATGAATCCCCTATATTTTGGATAGTTTTCAACGTTCCTGTTTATAAATACAAATCAGTGAGGAGGACTTGCTGGAAAAATGTTGCCAAACACCCTTAAGTATCTCCTTAGGTAAATGCCTGGAAGAAGAATTATTGTTTCAAAGGTATGCTTGTCTGAATATAGTTAGATTACCTTTCACAAGAGTAGTATCAATTTACCTTCTTACCAGCAGTCACTGAGCCACTTGCCAACACTGGATAATAAAATTAAAGATAATCTTTAGCTATGTCATTAGAAAAATTAGTTTCTGTTTATTTCATTTGTTTTGAATTTTAGAAACTGAACATTATTTCTTGCATTACAGTTTTTTTTCATTTGCCTATTGTGTGTTTATGTTTCTGCGCATTTTGTGTATCATCCATCTTGTTATTTGTAAGAGTAAAGCCATATCAACTCTAAAGGTTGCAAACAGTCTTTCTTCCTTTCCTCTTTACTTTTTAATATTTTTGATGACTTTTTTGGTATAGAGAATGTTTATTTTTCTGTATATTTGCTTAAATCTATGGAATGGTTTTGTATGGTTTCTCTTTTGTGTGTTGAATTAGAATTCTGTCACTTGTAAGTATCAGAAAATTCAGTTCAAACTCACTTAAGGAAAAAACGGAATTTAGTTGTTAAAAATAAAAATATGGTTTTGCACACATAAATTTAAATGAGATTAAATAATATGTATGCAGGTGTATTATATATGTATATTAACTCATTTGAGTGTATGAGGTAGGTACTATTATCAACCCACTTTATAGATGAGGAAGAGATTAAGTAATTAATATGCCCAAGGTCACACGGTAAGTAGTAAAGCCAAAGTATGAACCCAAGCATTCCAGTGCTTGGATTCCATTACACGATACAGCTTCTTGTAATTATGAAAAGGCAGGGGTCAACATACTTCAGGCCTGCATGGAACCAGGGGCTTAACCACAGATATCAGTGCTCAGGTGCCTTCTCCCATCTGTCATCTCTGCTGTCCATCCTGTCAGCCCCATTCTTGGGCTAGTTCTTCTCTCTTGATGGCAGGATGGCTGCCAGCAGTTCTAGGTGCTAGAATGTCTATACAGCGTACTCCTCGGTATAGTCCTCATTGGCCCAAATTGGGCCTTGTGCCTCCTGGAAGAAAAAAAATCTCTCTGGACAAGGTCCAGGACCATGGTTTGGATTGGGCTTGAGTCACAAACAACTATTGAAGCTGGGATGGAGAAATTCCTTCTATACCATATGGGCTGATAATGGAAGGGGAAGGAAAATTAGAATACAGAAGGGGGAATGGATGGTGCACTGGGAGAATAAAAGGGGTCACTGAGGCATAATTAAAGGCTTCTCCACTTCATGCTTACTAAATAATCACATTTAATAATTTAGAATTTAAAATTTCTTTAAAAATTATTTTATTTCCCATCAAATGAATATATAAACAGTTTAAAAAATCAAATATTAGTGAAAGGCTGATTGTGAAACATAGCAGTCCCCTATCCTCCTCCTCCTTAACCTCCAGTTTTGTTTCTCAGAGGCAGCTCTTACTAACCATAAGATTTCTCAAAAATATGCTTATCTAACTACTTCTGGATCTATCCTTTCATGTTTGGTAAAGATTAGGTAATTTAGCTCTCTTA